AAACCTCCCACTACTCTGGGAGGCAAGCTGTCCCGCTGATCCTTTGTTCTCACTGTCAGAAAATTTCTAATATGTAATACATTATTTCTCATGCTTATTATTAGGACACTCTTCTAAAAATCGCTGTGCTTAGTGTTCCAAACAGCCATTGATATCCTCATCGTTATAACAGAGGTTAGCAATTTGTGTCTCCTGAATTAAAATTCTCTCATCTTGCAAATAAAAGAATGGAAGTGAGGAACGGGGGATGTGGGACGGGATGGGATTGGCCTCGTGGCTTTCTCTTCTCAGAGGGCTCTTAGTCAAATTGGAATTGGGTATGCCTTGTTTAATAAAAAAGGAGGATTAGGGGTGACATGATAGCAGTCTTCCAATATTTGAGGGGCTGCCACAAAGAAGAGGGGCTCAACAGTGGTGGGATTTAAGTAATTTAACAACCGGTTCTCTGCCCTAATGATTTCTTCCAACAACCAGTTTTCCAAACTGCTCAGAAAGTTAACAACTGGTTCTCCCAAAGTGGTGCAAACTGGCTGAATCCCACCATTGGGGAATCAACCTATTCTCCAAAGCACTTGAAGGCAGGACAAGAAGCAATGGGTGGAAACTAATCAAGGAGAGAAGCAACCTAGAACTGAGGAGAAATTTCCTGACAGTGAAAAAAATTAAACAGTGGAACGGTTTGCCTCCAGAAGTTGTGGGAGTTTTTAAGAAGAGACTGTAGCATCATTTGTCTGAAATGGTATATAGCAGTGATGGCGAACCTTTTCGGCACCAAGTGTTCAAACTGGGATGTGCGTGCATGTAGTGTCAAGTTTCGAGGTCGTCTCAAATAAATTGCATTTCAAACAAAGTCTTTGAAGAAAAACTCCTATTTATTAAGCACAACATTCTAAACCCGACTCCAATCGAAGCCAACACTGACTTCCAGCCCCAAAACCCTCCCTTTCCGTTCCCCACTCCCCTGCACTCATTGGTCATCTTCCAAGTCATTCTACCCTTAATCTACTCCAGCTCAAAGGAATTTCCCCCCTCCCATCCCATCTCCTAGGGGATATTATCTCCAGGGAAAATAAGTAGGCGTCCCTTTCCAGACGCCTTCGCTTCTCCTTCTCATGTCAGCACTAGAGTAAATGCAGGTTGAAGTGCTGACATGTAGAATAAAATAGAATAAAACTTTATTACGGTCATTGACCAGCAATAGACATACAATAAATTAAAAATAATTCTGACATTAATCGTGAATAATAACATGGGGACTGGAGGCTAAAACATGCAATGAACGTTTGCAGGAACTTGGCATGGCTAGACTAGTGAAGAGAAGGACCAGGGGAGACAGGATAGCAGTCTTCCAATATTTGAGGGGCTGCCACAGAGAGGAGGGGGTCAAGCTAGTTTCCAAAGCATCTGAAGGCCAGACAAGGAATAATGGATGGAAAGTGAACAAGGAGAGATTCAACCTAGAAATAAGACAAAATTTTCTGACGGTGAGAAAAAAAATCAACCAATGGAACAGAAGCGGCCTTCAGAAGTTGTGGGAGCTTCTTCCCTGGAGGCTTTCAAGAAGAGATTGGACTGCCATTTGTCAGAAATGGTGTAGGGTCTCCTCCTTGGGCAGGGGTGGGGGAGAGGGTTGGATTAAATGACCTACAAGGTCATTTCTAACTCTGTAATCAACTCAAGAAAATGAGGTATTTCTTTGATGCCTTAGCAAGCTTGCAACCTTAGGGTCACGCGAGGTAAAACACAGAAGGCGAATGACTTTAGAGAAGATCGCTTAAGAGTTGAGGACTCGGCCTCATGTCCTTCTAAGGGTTTTGATGTAACCCATCCTCCGGAGCTGGTTTCTTTTCATCCTTAGGCCATAAAGAGCCACCTCAGAGAGATCTTACGCCTTTCCACTTTCTAGATAGCATTCTTCCTCTTCTCCTACGTGTGATCCAGTCTCATCAAGGATGTGGTTGATGATATGGCCAAGGGTTTGGCTTGGCTTGGCTCTTATTGGTTGGTGGGATTAGGACAAACCAGACATCTATACAGCCACTGGCCAGCACAATGCCAGAGGAGAACTTTCTAATCTAAAGAGTTGGGACTCTAGAAAGAGTGCAGAGAAGAGCAACCAAGAAGATTAGGGGACTGGAGACTAAAACATAGGAAGAACGGTTGCAGGAACTGGGTATGTCTAGTTTAATGAAAAGAAGGACATGGGGAGACATGATAGCAGTCTTCTGATATCTCAGGGGCTGCCCCAAAGAAGAGGCAGTCAAGCTATTCTCCAAAGCACCTGAAGGCAGGACAAGAAGCAATGGGTGGAAACTAATCAAGGAGAGAAGCAACTTAGAACTAAGGAGAAATTTCTTGAATGTTAGAACAATGAATCAGTGGAACAACTTGCCTCCAGAAGTTGTGAATGCTCCAACACTGGAAATTTTTAAAAAGAGATTGGATAACCATTTGTCTGAAGTGGTGTAGGGTTTCCTGCCTAAGCAGGGGGTTGGACTAGCAGACCTCCCAAGGTCCCTTCCAACTCTGTTATTCTATTCTAAAGTACTAAAACACAGATTCCTTTAACACGGAGATATAGCAGTTTTTGTGGATGTGATTCCTGCCTTGTAGGGAAGGTCCATTTAAACTGAAAAAAAGAGAATTGAATTCTACTACTTGGTGTTGAGGGTATTATAGGTTCTACTCGGCTTCTACCCACAAGAGGAGTAGAGTAGGACTTAACAGAACGTAACAGAGTAACAAAGTTGGAAGGAAACTGGGAGGTCTTCTAGTCCAACCCCCTGTTCAAACAGAAAACCCTTCAGACAGATGGTTGTCCTATCTCTTCTTAAACTCTTCCAATCCCTTTGCATCCAGATATCCACTTCTCACAGCTGTACTCTTAGGGTTTAATTAGAAGATGGTGGTGCCATTTTGCCTACTCTCTGACTACTGGGAGGGAGGTCCTCCTAGCCATGGCCTCTATCTGCTAACTTCGCCTTCTTGTCAAGGATGACGCTCTCTCATTGATGGTGTTGGCTCCTCTGGCTTCAATCCCCTTCCTTCCTTCAAGCCCAAATAGTCCTCCCAGTGGACTATTTTGGGATGTGGATCGAGTGCTCTTTTCAGGACAACAATTTTGAACCCTCGTCAGAAATCACCCACAGTTTGACAGGTGGCTGAAACCCATGATTGAAGCAGATTTAACAGACTTTAACAGATTGAAAGAGTTGGAAGGCACCTTATAGGCCATCTAATCCGACCCCCCCCACTCAAGCAGGAGACCCTACACCATTTCTGACGATCTTTTCCAATCTTTTCTTGAAGCCTCCGGTGATGAAGCTCCCACAACCTCCGAAGTCAACTTCTGTTCCATTGGTTGATTGCTTTCCCTTTCTCTTTATTTCTAGGTTGAATCTCTCCTTGGTCAGTTTCCATCCATTGTTCCTTGTCTAACCTTCGGGTGGTTTGGAGAGTAGCTTGACCCCCTTCCTCCTCTCTGTGGCAGCCCCTCAAATATTGGAAGACTGCTATCATTGTCTCCCCTGGTCCTTCTCTTCACTAGACTAGCCATGCCCAGTTCCTGCAACCGTTCATTGTATATTTTAGCCTCCAGTCCCCTCATCATCCTGGTTGCTCTTCTCTGCACTCTTTCTAGAGTCTCAACATCTTTTTTATGGTATGGTGACCAAAACTAGATGCAGTACTCTAAGTGTGGTTTTACTAAGGCTTTATAGAGTGGTATTAGTACCTCCCTTGATCTTGATTGTATCCCTCTGTTAATGCAGTTTAGGATTGCGTTGGCTTTTTTAGCTGCCGCTGCACACGGCTGGGTCATATTTTGCTAATTGTCCATTAAGATTCCAAGATTCTTCTCACACCCACCGCTATTAAGCCTGGTTTCCCCCAGTTTATATGTGTGCTTTTGGGATTTTCTTACCTAAGTGCAGGACTTTACTTTTCTCTGTCTACACTTGCCCATCCTCTCCCACGACCACATGTGAAGGAGGAGAGGGGCGCCTGGCGGTTTACCCTGAACTGGTGTGTAATGCTTGTTAAGAAGAAGGAAATCAAAACCAGAGGCATCACCCACCCACCCCTTCCCTTATCTCGTTCCTCGTGCTCCAGGTCCTTGCTGGAGAGGCAGAATAAGCAGGGACAACAACAGAATTTTTCAGGGTTTTTTTTTTCTGGCAGACTTTTTTTTTTTAATTATTTTTTGCCAACTCATAGGCTAAAGGAAATTCCCTTTAAGACACGAAGCTAGCTGAGGTCTCTGCCCTGGTCTGAATAAAAGACATGGTGGGGATTCAGATGATTTATTATACATTCAAAGCTACGTTAGAGGGGACCTACGTTTAGAGCAGTGTTTCTCGACCTTGGAAACTTGAAGATGGGTGGACTTCAACTCCCAGAATCTGAGAGTTGAAGTCCACCCATCTTCAAGCTACCAAGGTTGAGAAACACTGATTTAGAGCCTTAACCATAGTTCCATGAGACGGGCTGGCTCGAGGGATTGTCCGAATGCAATATGGTTGAAGATGAATTCGAATCTGAGTTTCTCCAGTTTCTCCTAGGCCAACCCACGAATCATCACATACTCGCTCCGTTTTTCTTCTAAACAAACCTAAGATTCAAGTCAGATCCCATGGGAGACGAGAGAACCATCCTAGAACTTAAGGAGACATCTCCTGACATTTGAGAACGATCCATCAGTGGGAACGTCTTGCCTCCAGAAGTTGTTGGGGGCTCCAAACACTGGAGATCTTCAGGAGGCATCGGGTCTCCTGCATGAGTAGGGGGTTGGACTAGAAGACCTCCAAGGTCCCTTCCAACTCTCTTATTCCGGTGCTACTTTGAGCGTTTTTCTAGTGTTTTTGGAGTTCCTTCTCAAGCATTGGCTGAAAAGACATATATATATATATATTTTTTTTCCTGCCTCCTTAGTTATAGGCCCACATGGCTTCTATCTACCTATCTCCCCGGCGAGGACTTTTGAGCTCCCATTTCTCACTTACCTTTCACTGCACAGATTTCCTCGGGGGCCCCCTCCTTCCTTGAAGTCCCAATCCAGAAGAGATCCCGAGCTCTTTCTTCACGTCCCATAAGTCCCGGGCTTCAGCTCTGCCCTTCGGGCAGGTCATCCACGGCTCCGTTAGAAACATCAGGAGGACCCAAATCTTCCCAAAGCAGCAGAAGAATGGAGACGTCGGGGGGGGGGGGGGGGTCAGGAAAAAGAAAATTAAATCAACAGCATTTCCCCCCCCCCAAGTTTTCCCTCCCTGAAATGGATTTTTTAAAAAAGCAGCTGTCGATACAGTTGGTTTGAAAAAAACAATAATAATAATAAAAAAGATAATATCCAAGAGAATTCCAGTGTCAGGAAGGTTTTAATGTCAAACTCCTTGCTGTATCCTGTTGGGCTCTGGTTGAGAAGACGCCAAAGGAGCTCCCAGCAGAGACAGACAAAACTCTCCTTTCAGGATTCCACTTTAATCGTGGTTGGACATCTCAGCCGTTTCTCTGTCACCCAGCAGCGGTGTTCGGCTTCTCCCTGCTCCAGAGTTGTGACCACTTTCTTCTCCTCTTGCTGTTGTTGGCGATTGAGGCTGTTGCAAGAAGAGAGAGAGAGACCGAGACCGGGAGAGAGGCTGTATTTTAATGCCGATCGCTTTTTTCCCTGCTAAGCCTCTTGATGGAGCAGGCAACCAGTGTGAGCAAAAGCTTCTCCGGAAAACCTTCACTCCCTCCTACCGCTTATGTGCGAGCATAGCAGCTTCTCCCAAGATCTTTGAGCCCCCTCAAAGTCAAGACAGCTTCCTTCTTCAAGGCAACTCTGGGAAACTTGTGGAATTGAGTCTGTCATCTGCACCTCTATAACTGCCTGGTTTGGTTCTGCAACCCAACAAGACAGACACAGACTTCAGAGGATAGTTAGAACTGCAGAAAAAACCATGGCTACCAACCTGCCTTCCATTGAGGACCTGTATACTGCACGAGTCAAAAAGAGGGCTGTGAAAATATCTACAGACCCCTCGCATCCTGGACATAAACTGTTTCAACTCCTACCCCAAAAACGACGCTATAGAGCACTGCACACCAGAACAACTAGACACAAGGACAGGTTTTTCCCGAACGCCATCACTCTGCTAAACAAATAATTCCCTCAACACTGTCAAATAATTTACTAAGTCTGCACTACTATTAATCTTCTCATCGTTCCTATCACCCATCTCCTCCCACTTATGACTGTATGACTGTAACCTTGTTGCTTGTATCTTTATGATTTATATTGATTTTTTAAAAAAATTTGATTTATATGCCGCCCTTCTCCAGAGACTCAGGGCGTCTTACAATGCGCTAAGCAATAGCCTTCATTCTTTTGTATATTTATACAAAGTCAGCTTATTGTCCCCACAAACTGGGTCCTCAATTTACCTACCTTAGAAAGGATGGAAGGCTGAGTCAACCTTGAGCCTTGGCGAGATTCGAACCTGCAGTAATTGCAGGCAGCTGGTCTTAATAACCAGCTTAATAACAGGGTGCCTTAGACCACTGTACTACCAAGGCTCTTGATATTGATATATTGATACGATTTGACTGTTTATTTGTACCCTATGACTATCATTAAGTGTTGTACCTTATGATTCTTGATGAACGTATCTTTTATGTACACTGAGAGCGTATGCACCAAAGACAAATTCTTTGTGTATCCAATCACACTTGCCCAATAAAATAAAAAAAAATTCTATCTAAAGGTGCCCATATTGGAGTTTTTTAAACTTCTCCGTCTAACCTTCCATCGTGAGTTTTGCTTCCAGTTCTTTCCCACAGCTCCAATCCCAGCTTAGCTTTTTCCAGTAGTCAGGTTTTTGCAAGATCTATTTTATTTTTTCTCGATTTGGGAGACCCCGGTGTACCCCTCTCTCAGTTATGAAAACACCTGGCCGTGGGTTCCTTTTGAATCCTATTCTGAAGGTGCCAATGATCTCTGCCTTTTACATCCTGGGAGATCAACTGGTGGTGGCTATGTGGTTTTGTTCAGCTACAGAGTTCTATTTTTGTTAACGTGTGCCGTCTTCTAAGAATTACTGCTGAAAACAGAATGCCCAGAGAGGAGGAACAGAGAGGAGCTGTGTGACTTGAGCATTTTTCAACGGGGGAAAATTAAATTAAATCAAGACTTTCTTATTTCATCAAGCTGGCCTGACCTAAGTCTTTCCCCTTTTTAAATGGAAATTTTAAATTTGGTTTTAAATTATTGGGGTTTTAAATTTGCTCAGCCAAATTGTTTAATTCATTTTAGTCTATTTTAAATTTTGTATCTATATGTTTTATTCTATGGCTGTTCACCGCCCTGAGTCCTTCGGGAGTAGGGCGGTATACAAATTCAATAAAATAAAATAAAATAAAATAAAATAAATAAAATAAATTAAGCCCCATTGTGCTGTTAAAGCTGAGCTTGGCTGACCAATGAATTCCTTCAGAGGACCTGAAATGTTATGTATTTCTATTGGTCTCCCCAAAATGTTTTAGAGAGGCCTCATTTGATCCCAGGATGGTAAAATAAAGGTGGAGGCACCTGTTAAGTACTGTTACAATCTGGACAGGTAGCAAATAGTATAATAGAGCCTTGATAGTACAGTGGTTTAGTGCACCCTGTCATTAACACAGCTGCCTGCAATTTCTGCTGGTTCGAATTTCTCCAAGGCTCAAGGTTGACTCAGCCTTCCATCCTTTCTAAGGTAGGTTAAATGAGGACCCAGTTTGTGGGGGCAATAAGCTGACTTTGTATAAAATATACAAAAGGATGAAGGCTATTGCTTAACGCATTGTAAGCCGCCCTGAGTCTCCGGAGAAGGGCGGCATATAAATCAAATTTTAAAAAAAAAATTACAGGTAGGATACTACGCTCAACTCTGCTTTCTGCTGTAAAAAAAAATAAAAAATCAAATTTGCATCCTCCGATTCTTTGAAGAAATGGATAGCTTTTTATGGGGGAATTTATAGCTGGTTTATTTGTCCACTGAGAAGTTTATTTGCCCGTTGGTCAAAGCATTCAAATAAAGCTTTTGATGAGGGAAATTCATCCATCGTTAAAACATTTTTTTTTAAAAAAAAAATCAAGTTTCTAGCCCTCCTGGTTTATTTTCCCAAAGGCAGCCCTTCTGGTGGTATGTTCCCACAGCTGGTGGCTTTTCCCTTAAGAGCTGATCTTTGAAAAGAAGTTCATTTGAAAAAATGCCAGATATGGGATTACTAGCATTGACTGTCAGGTGACCAACAGATTGTCAGAAGCAGGAGAGAGAGAGAGAGAGAGAGAGGAGGGGAAATAAATAAATAAATTAAATAAATAAATAACAGCTCCGAGCAGCAACAGCCACAAAATGCCAATTATAGTCAATTACGGCTACAAAGCGTCAATTACTGTCAATTACAGATTTCAAAGGCCAAGGGAGAAGGAATCCATTTTCCTCCTTCGCTCAAGAGAGCAGGAGAGACAATGCCAAGGCATTTTTTAAAACTTTTTTTTTTTTTTTTTTTGGCACAAAGATTTTACAAAAACCGTCTCCAAAATGATTTGTTTCCCCAGGACTCTTGGCCTGATTCTGGGAATGGCTTGCCTTGGTCCGTCTTCATCCTGCAGTCGGGTAAAACTAGGAGAACTAAATGCAGCACCAAATTCGAACCCAGGACCGACCTCAAGTTTGTCTTCGAAACTGTTTGAATGAGCGGAAGAGAGCGAAGAGCAAGGTGATGCCAAAGTCCTTTTCTCTAAACATTAACCAAACCGGGCTTAATACCACTCTACAAAGCCTTAGTAAAACCACACCGAGAATACTGCATCCAGTTTTCTTCACCACACTATAAAAAAGATGTTGAGACTCTGGAAAGAGTGCAGAGAAGAGCAACCAGGATGATGAGGGGACTGGAGGCTAAAACATACAATGAACGGTTGCAGGAACTGGGTATGGCTAGTCTAGTGAAGAGAAGAACGAGACAGGATAGCAGTCTTCCAATATTTGAGGGGCTGCCACAGAGAGGAGGGGGTGAAGCTATTCTCTAAGGCACCTGAAGGCCAGACAAGGAATAATGGATGGAAACTAATCAAGGAGAGATTCAACCTGGAAATAAGGAGAAATTTTCTGATGGGGAGAACAATCAACCCATGGAACAGAAGTTGCCTTCAGAAGTTGTGGGGGCTTCTTCACTGGAAGCTTTCAAGAAGAGATTGGACTGCCATTTGTCAGAAATGGTGTAGGGTCTCCTGCTTGGGTGGAGTAGGGGGTTGGACTGGATGATCTCCAAGGTCCCTTCTTCCAACTCTGTTAAAATCTGTTAAAGAAACATCTAACTAAATGAACACTGCACACATCAAGGGAGTCGTGTTTGTGGCCAAAACCTCGCCAAGGGTGCTGTCGTGCTGCCGAACAGCAGAAAACTAGACGATATTTGAGCCCAAAGAGTCCATTTGAGGCCATCCAAGTCTGGCCTAACATGGTTTATCTATCCAAAATGCCTGGACACAGATGCAAGATTTTTCTTTCGCTGAGCAAGACTACCATAGTTTCCTGCCAAAGCCGATGAATACCAGCTGAGGCCCGACTGAGCCTTCTCTACAATTGTCAAATATTTTTCATGGAGGGAATTCTTGCTGGAGGAAGCTTCTTGGTGCGGATTCCATTGTGTGATCCAAAGCAATCGGCCTACCAAAGTTGGACCATAAGGAAGGCTGAGAAGGCCAAAGAATTCAGGCCTTTGAACTCTGGTGCTGGAGAAGACTCCTGCGAGTCCCTTGGACTGCAAGGCCATCAAACCGGTCGGTCCTAGAGGAGATCAACCCTGATCGCTCTTTAGAAGGCCAGATCCTGAAGATGGAACTCAGATACTTTGGCCACCTAAGGAGAAGGAAGGACTCCCTGGAGAAGAGCCTAATGCTGGGAACGATTGAGGGCAAAAGAAGAAGGGGACGGCAGAGAAGGAGGTGGCTGGATGGAGTCACTGAAGCAGTTGGCATGAGCTTAAATGGACTCCAGAGGATGGTAGAGGACAGGAAGGCCTGGAGGAACGTTGTCCATGGGGTCGTAATGGGTCGGACACGACTTCACAACTAACAATAACAATTAATCCACATTAATAAAGCCAAGATTAAAAACATTGAGGGAAGTGGATACTGAAAGAGGAGAATATTTGAATGGTGGGGTCCTTAGTGCTCTGAACACCACAGTTTTGCTCTTGAGCACTGATGGTGTTGCCTAGTACGATAGTGGAAAGTCTGCAAGAAGACAACCAATCCTCAGGAAGTGGATACGTTAGGAAATATAAAGTTCAGATGATGTTAGATCTGTGCAACCTCTTTGAGGTGGAATGTCCATCGCTTAGAAAAGCAGAAGTGGAAGGAGCAAAGTTGCTTTCGTCCCTCTGGGTTCTTACCATTAATTTTGTCAAGGTTGAATCTCCCGACTTAGAGAAGTAAGAAAAGGAGCTGTCCAGCTCCACTGCTAGAATCATTGTGCATTATTTCGTTTTGGTAAAGTGAAATTTTGCTCCACCAACTTCCGAGTGGAAGCTGAGATGGTCTCTTTCTGGATTAATTGCCCTCATTTCATCTTGGAACATCTGAGGAGAACCTCTACTGGAATCTATGTTGTTTTTCTGGAGTCTC